TCTTCTTCGACAGTGGCCTTTCCAGGTGACACGTCTTCAGTGGCGTCTTTTGTTCCATTGTTCACTTTGTTCCAACTGAAATGATCTGGACCATGATAACTCCAAAGCCTGTTGGCATGCACCACTTTTGGCTTACTTCGCCACCCACATTTTATCCAGAAAGTCACGTCTGAGAGACGATCCACTATGTCATATGGGCCTTCCCATGGAGCTGACAACTTAGGAGACTTCCCTTTAGTATTACTTGGATTATATAACCACACTCTGTCTCCTGGTACAAAGCTGACTTTAGTAGATTTCTTATGATAAGATAACTTCATCGAATCAGCAAACGTTTTCAAGTTTGAATGCACTTGATGGTGAATATTATCCATCCTTTCCGATAACACTTTCACGAATTCTGAAACATTTTCAGGCAACTCTTCCTAAGGTGGGCGTCCTGTTAATAGATCCACTGGCAACCAAAGTTCCCGACCAAACATCAACTTTGCTGGAGTGTATCCAGTGGCTTCATGCTCTGCTGTTCTATAGGCCATCAACAGTAGAGGGAGTAAGACATCCCAGTCATCTTGGTGGCTATTACAAAACTTCGCCAATTCCTGTCCAAGTGTCCAGTTGTACTTTTTTACCATCCCATCAGACTGTTGGTGTAGTGGCGTTGTTCTGGTCTTTCGTATGTCAAACAACTTGCAGCATTCATGAAACACAGCTGATTCAAAGTTACGGTTTTGATCTGAATGCAGTTCGTATGGTATACCAAATCTGCAAAATAAATCACTAATAACCGAAGCTACAGTTGTAGCTTCCTGATTTGGTAGTGCATATGCCTCAGGCCACTTGGTGAAATAATCCATCACCACACAAATGTACCTGTTTCCTGCACGAGTTTGGGGCAAAGGACCAGCAATGCCAACGGCTACTCTTTCCGTTGGTGTGTCAACTTGATATAACTTCATTGGAGCACGTCCCTTATGTTTGGATCCCCTTTTAGCACAACATGTACTGCATGCCCTGCACCATTCTTCTACATCTTGCCTCATACCTATCCAGTAAAATATCTGTTGCATAGTTTAACAGGAGGACATCTCGGAGTTAAGAAGACATTGAGTCACCTCATGGGATTGATGCAGCACAACTTCCCGTAACTTTCTCGGTATAACTGTTTGCCAGGTCATCACTTTCCATCTGCAGTTTCCCATCTCCGGACAAGACTACCATCTTCAAGCTTTAACTGGTCTCATTGTGCCCAATAGTTCTTTGTCACAGGGCTTGAGCTAGACACCTTCTTCCAAGCAGGGCACAAAACACTTGCTTGTAGAAAATTAATTATTGGCTTCAAATCTTAGTTTTTCTCCTGCTCTGCTTTAATATCCATATCTGGTTCCACTTCACCATCATCAACTCCTTCAGCCACTTTGACTTCAGCTTGATGGCACCTGGTTAGTTCAACCTCTCTTTTGCAGCAATGTCTGCAGTCATCTTTGCAGATTTTTTGGCTAAAGTCCGTCATCATTTCCATGAGATTTTCCTTCTCTGTATTCAATATCATAATGATACTGGTCTATCTTTCCAATCCAATGTACCAGTTGTCCCTCTGGGTTCTTTAATGATCTTAACCAGCATAATGCTGCATGGTCTGTCCTGATGGTAAACCTGGCGCCATAAAGGTAAGGATAGAAATATGTCAGACTCTTTACTACGCAGAAGTTCCTCTCTGCTCTACTCAGGACCCTACTGAAGTAGGCCACCACATGTTCGTTTTCACCCACTTTCTGAGACAACACTCCTCCAATTCCGACATTACTATTATCACAATCCAGTATGTACGGCAGTGAGGGGTTTGGAAGCTGAGTGGAGCTGAGGCCAATTTTTCTTTCAATGTCTTAAAAGCATGCTGGCAAGAAACTGTCCATTCATACTTCTGGCCTTTTTTTGTCAAATCATGTAGTGGAGCAGCTATAGTTGCAAAGTCCTTCACAAACTTCCGGTAATAGGTATATAGTCCCAAGAAACTTCTTAACTCTCCCACATTGTCTGGTGTTGGCCAATCATGCACTGCTTTCACCTTGTCAGGATCAGTTTGCACACCATGCTCACTTACAATGTGACTCAAGTAAAGCACCTCCTCTAGCGGGACATTTCCTCATCAAATGTTGTTGCAAGCACAATGACATCATCCAGGTACACTAGGGCTACCCTCCATTGTAGGCCTTCCAATACTCGTTCCATCAGCCTCTCAAATGTTGCTGGAGCATTACTAAGCCCGATTGGCATCACACGGTATTGCCAGAGACCTTGGCCATAACTAAATGCAGT